TGTGTCTAAGGATATGTTGTTTTGAAAAAAACGTTTCTACTTTTGTTTCCACAGAAGATGAAACATCTGGATTACTTTTGGATTAATATGATTTGGTTGAACAAGACCTCCTGAAAAATCTCCAATGGAAATGATGGCCAAGGTGATCCAATAGCCACAACAGTTTTAATGCTACTGGTTGAGATTGACTAACCACATAAATTAACCCAGTGAAAACTTGACCATAATTCTAAATTTCCTCAGGATCCCCATAGACTACCCATGCCCAAGTTAGCAGAAAGTAGTATAGAAAACTATGCCCAAATTTGCAAAATATTGTTTATGAATGTTTGTTTTTATTTAAAGAGGGTTGATTATAAATAGTTAATGGTCATAGTCAATCTTTCTAAAAATTGGATAATATAGAAATGACAAGGTCAATAATTGAATGTACATTAATAAAAAACTTAGTCACAAAATACTTTACATTTGTATGGGTTTTGGTTTATTGATAGAAATTTAAGGTCAATTTTGCTATAGTATATGTACATTTCAACTCTTTTTAAAGGTATTTTAATGTAGCTCATTTAAAAATGCAAGTTAATAGTTATCTATAATAGTCAGATTTATAGTCATGTTTATTAGGTTTTGTAGGTATGCAGAGAGATATGTGAGATATATAGGTAACCTTCAAACACTTCAAAGTCCTATAGAATATAGCATATTTAAATGTTCAAGAACTTGGACTTTTCTGGACAATGAGACACATCTGCTCCTGGCAGCAACCATTGATTTGAAGAGAATGATGAGCATTAAAGAAACTCATTATGGAGTTTATTTACAAGAGGGAAAAGCTTAGCCATTGAATAAGAAAATGTTGTACCTGGAATGCATGATAAACTCGCCATGCATAACACATAGGAAGGTGACCCCTGAACTTTGCCAAACAAGGAATGATGGTCCTTCAGGTTCCTGATTTGCAGAACAAACTGCCAGACATTCTGCAGAACACAGATATGGTGCTGTTGATCATTTCATGAAATGCACATCCCACTGACTTGTGAAAACCCCTCTGTGATACAGTGCTTTCTTAACATCTTTATTACACTGAGTTACCAGGCACTGCAACTTAGAATGGGAAAATTTTATCATAGCCCACAATTCCAAGTAATAGTTCCATTCTTGGGAAATCAAGGTAGGAACTTATCTAATCATATCACATCCACAGCCAAGAGCAGAAATAAACAAATGTACCCATGCTGCCTGTTTTTTTATGCTTATACTCAAGGTTCTTCATACTTACACAGTACAGGTTGCAGACAATGAAATGATTCTCCCCATTTTAGGGACTCTTATCTCAATTAACAATTAATAAAATCGCATAGAGACCTGCTCAAAGTATCTGATCTATATGATTTCTCATTGATGGTCCCTCTTCCGAGGTGACTTGTTTGATTCAGTCTGATAATAAAAACTAAGAATCGCTGGGCTGTGGTGGTGCATGCCATTAATCCCAGCACTGCGGAGGCTGATGCAGATGGATCTCTGTTCAGCCAGCCTGGCCTCCAAAGTGAGTCCCAAGAAAGGCTCCACAGTTACACAGAGAAAACCTATCTCAAAACTAAGAATCACACTGCCCCAGCATCACTGCCAGGCTTTGACGAGATTTCTGCCTGCCTTTAGAGCTGTGGTCCTAAACCTGTGTGGGTCACCCACCATTTGGGGTCGCATATCAGATATCCAGCACTTCAAATATTTGAATTATGATTCATAACAGTAGCAAAATTAGGGCTGGAGAGGTGGCTCAGAGGTTAAAAGCACTGCTTGCTCTTCCAAAGATCCTGAGTTCAATTCCCAGCAACCACATGGTGGCTAACAACCATCTGTAATGACATCTGGTGCCCTCTCCTGGCCTGCAGGGATATGTGCAGGCAGAATACTGTATGTATAATAAATAAATAAATCTTTTTAAAAAGCAGCAAAATAAAAAGAAACAATGAAACAGTTATGTTTAGGGCTCACCACAACACGAGGAACTAATGTTTGTGCTATTTAAGGATTTAAAGCATCAGAGAATTGGGAAAAAATAACCATTGATCTACAGTGTCCAGTGGAACCCGAGTGTCTATGTTGCTAACTATGAAGAAGTTTGCAAAATATTTTCCTGAATATTCTTTGCTCTAAGGGAAACTCATATTCTATATGGAAGACTCCAGATGTCTGGCCACCTTTTCTACCCAGTAACAGCAGATCACTTTAAGCTACTCAACAGAGTGGACAAAACCCACTACATAAATGATGACACAGATTTTAGTCACACTGAGCTCAATGACCATATTACTCTCCTACGGGTACTTGTTCTGAGGATGTTTCAGCTGCTTCCTCTAGTATAACTCTGCCTAGCTGTTTCCTGTAGACTCTTTACCAGGAAGTTGTTTAACAAGTGTCCTTCATAGTCAGCATTAAGTCTATAATGTCTTGTGGCTAAGGAGATAAGGAAATGTAGGTACTTTTTTACATCTTTTTTGGTATTGTTTTGTGTTTTTTTTTCATTTTTCATTATTCAGAAATTTTCTACTCACCCCACATACTATCCACAGAAATCCCTCCTCCCTTTATCCACCCCCAGCCCTCTGTCCCAAGCCACCCCACATCCCCCAAATTGAGGTCTTTCATGGGGAGTCAGCAGAGCCCAGCACACTGAACCTAGACAGGTCCAAGCCCCTCCCCACTTAAACAAAGCTGTTTAAGGTTTCATATCATAGGCACTGGGTTCCAGAAGTCTGCCCATAGACCAGGGACAGATCCTGATCCCCTGCCTAAGTGCCCCCCAATCAGTTTGAGCCAAACAACTATCTTCTGTATCCAGAGGACCTAGTCCAGTCCGATGCGGGCTACACAGACACCAGTCCACATTTCATGGGCTTCCACTAATGTGGCCAGTCATCTCAGTAGCAGGTACTTATGATGAACTTCAGCATATATGAATTGCTATATTATTACCTTGTGTACATAAATTTCAGTAGGAGATCAACATTTTCCACACATGGAAAAAAACTAAAGGATGTCCAAACAATCAGGGAGAAATCTCTGGCTTTGAATGAAGGGGGTGCTGAAGGGCTTCCCTTGTATTCCAACAGAGGCTCCTGCAAAGGTCAGCTTGAATTCTGTTGTATTATGAGGAAAGCTCCTTAGGAGGGAAGCAATGTCAGTTCCCATGACATCTGCAGCTCTTCCCTGGACACTCTCCTGTATCCAGGAAAGCCCTGGCATCCTCTGTGATGTCATATATATTGTGGCAACACCAACTGCCCTGGGAAAGCTTACTCAATGTCTTCAATATTTACTGATGAACATGATGGCATACTGAAGAGTCTAATTCAGAAAGAGATGGAGAGAGTAGAGAGACCAGAGAGTGCAGAAGAAAGCTGACCTTCAGCTTCAATGTAAAACATCAAGAAAGAAATGGTCAAGAGAATTTTATAATAAGTTCTGTGCAGGAAAAGGGAAGCTTCCTGGAGGAAGTGGACTTGAACTGAATCTTCCAGTAATGGGGCCCAGAATGCTGGAATCTCTGGGAACCAAAAGAACTTCCCTGCTAGTCATGGCTCTTGAAATTCAAGAATTCCAGGATATTCATTTTTTTTGCCTCAGAGGTCAGGAACTTGTAAGGCCAATGCTTTATGCTGGGATCTTTTGGCTTTCATTACCTTTGGAGGATAGGCATTGATGAGTGAACATGAGAAAAACAAATTGGGAGGGATTAATGAGGTGTGCCCATTTCAAACAGGACATCACTGTACTTTAACCACATTGCCTAACTTTAGGTACTTCCCAGCTGCTCTGTGTTCCTGAGTTGTCAGTGAGGTGACTTTTTGAATTTGGTGACCATGTTCTGCCCTTATATATCTTCTCCATCAATAGTTATATGGTTAGTGACCTGTGAAGATATTTGGGGAAACTCTAAATGACTGGGGTGATTGTGAACTATGGCAATTTTCTCCTGACTTGTAAACCCACAGGCTTGTGGACTCTGCAGCCAAGTTGAATTCTGAGTCTGTAGTTGTGAATAAGCCTGAAGAGGCTATCTCCTTGGTTACTGGGATCATGTGTTATGAGGGGAGGGAGAACCACATACCTGAGATAACCACTTCCCTTCAAATAGAGGAGACAGCTGAATTCCCCAAAGGGGGAATCTGAAGCATCGAACAAAATAATTTGGGGTGTTACCGAGTCATTGGTAAACAAGCTTTCTCAAACATTTGATTAGGTCTTAGGGTGGTCGTTCCATCCTCTTTGCCTTGTCATACTGCAAGTTAAATTGTGTTTATCTACCCACAAGGAGCACCAAGGAGCTACTTTCCCACTAAACCTTCCTCATCCAGATGCAGGTGAAGCAGAAGGTGCAGAGGCTGACCAGTCAGCTGCAGCAAATGACCATGGAAAGAAAGTAGCATTGAAATTTCCTAATCCTTATCTTAGAAGAGATCATGAAGAATAGGTATTCATTCTTTCAAACCCTGTGGTTTCAATCTTAGGTCCACTCTGTCATCATTAATTCATTTTATACAAGGTTTGTGTTTCTCCTAGGCTGCATCTTCAACGTATGTCATTGCACAAAATCATGTCTCTGAACTCTTCCCAAATTCAGAACTTCAAATGTGGACAGGAAAGACATGAGAACAAAGACTATTCTGCTTCCTCTAAAAAGAAACAAAAACAGAGCCTGTAGTATGAGTCATATTTCTCATGGACTGAGGCAGTAGTATGTGAGTTTGCAGTATGCATTTGAAGAGATTCTATCAATTGCTGGCTACTGTGAGATGTTAGTTGCTGTTAGTTTGACTTGATTGTTTTGTTACTTGCTTGGAAAGGCCTTGTGTGTTTGATTCTCCAAGCAGCAGTTGGGGAGTCCTAGTCACACATCTAAATGTGTGGATACAAGGACTGAGACTGATCCCTGCTC